GCTTTATTCTTTGGCTTCCTGGTTGTCATTACAGCAGTCTGACTTCCTGCGAGCCTGACTGCTCAGGCTGGCTTCCTGGTCTGGTGACCGGACATAAGAGGTTGGTTTCCTGGGCTGGTTGCTGCAGATTGTAGGTCAGAGTTTTATATATGGCCTGGTCATTTCTCCTTATATTCTCTCTGTCCCCAAGGGAAGCATGTTGTGTTCAGGGTTTGCCCTGAGCAAGGCTCTTAAGGAGGCCATCTGGTGTGCTTTGTCACCTGCCACAGGACTTTTGCAGAGAGTGGGGGTGGCTGGCTCTGATTTGTTCAGGGTGCTTGGAGATAATAACGTAATTCTTTGCTGAGGTCTCTTGGCTCCTGTGTCTAACTCAAAGTGGAAACCAAAGTAATATTTTGGGTTAGAAGGAAGTTGTTGTTCCCCATTTTAGAATTTCAGAAGGCAGCTCTAATAACTGTCTCTAAATGGAGTTAATATGTAGAAAGGGGAACTAATTACATGGCCTTGGCTGCCCCAAGTTCCTGGTATGCAAATATACTTCTGAGAAGAATGGATTTGGAGACGGGGARATTCTGGGTGTATGATCGTAAAGAAATTCCTGATCTTCCTGAGGTCTCATAAATAAATTAAGGGAAATAAAACCTGCTTTCATTTATTATGCAGATTTCCAACCCTCTTGAAATTCATATATATGAAAAGTATTTAAGCCACTTCCTGTGGTTCAAGGGTCCACTGTGCAAATTTCCTTTTTGCTGGGCCACATGCTCTGCAGTCAGGGTTCATGTCCAATACCACCCTGGGCAGACAGCACTTTGTCCTAGCTCTTCACCTCTGGTGGGCATCACAATAGTTACCATTTTATCTCCACTTGTATCTAAGTACTTCAAAATCTGATAGTAAGAAGTGTGAATCTACAAGCTTCCTTTTTCTTCTGTTCTTAGTGCATTACAGTTATACATAATTGTTGGGTTTGTTTTCACAAGATCATGTATGCATGGAATCTGGTTTATTCCATTTCAGTCCCCAACCCCTCACCCCCATTTTCTCTTCATTCCTCTTTCCCACTATTCTCCTTCTTCTACTCTAGTAGTCCTTCTTTCTGAAGGAAATTTGGTTATTTTTGATGGGTGCTTTATAAATCCACATAAGGGCAGAATTCACTGTGGTGTATTTGTACATGCACGTCGTGTAATTTTGTTGATTTCATTCCACATTTCCTTCCCTTTCCTGTCCTTCTCTCTCCATCTCACTCTTCTATACCACTGACCTTCCCTATGCCTTTGTGATATCCAACCCTGCTCCCATTTCCCCTTATTTTACTCAGCTTCCCCTTATGAGAGAAAACATTTGACTCTGGATTTTCCGAGTTTGGCTTATTTCACTTAGCACGGTATTCTCCAATTCCATCCACTTATGGAAAATTCCATAATTTACTTTTTTTTTTAAAAAAATTTGTTTTCATAGGTTATACATGACAGTAGAATGTATTTTGACTGTTATACATATATGGAGTATAATTTCCCAATCTTCTGGTTGTGCATGATATGGAATTACATTGGTCCTGTATTCATATATGTATAAAGGAATGCAATCTCCTATTCATGCTACTATCTTTCCTATTCCTATTCTCTCTCCATTCCCTTCATTCCCTTATGTTTAATACAAAGTATTTTTATTCTTCCTTACCACTGCCCCCCACCTTATTGTGAGTTAGCAGCCACATATCAGAGAGAACATTCGGCCCTTGGTTTAGGGGGATTGGCTTATTTCACTTAGCATGGTATTCTCCAGTTGCATCCATTTACCAACAAATGCCATYCATAATTTCATTTTTTTTTATAGCTGAGTAAAACTCCATTGTGTATAAGTTCTGTATTTTTTTAGTCCGTTTATCTATTGGTGGACATTTGGGCTAGTTCCATAAATTGACTATTGTGAATTGCACTACCTAAAAGTATTGACATGGCTGTATCATTATAGTATACTAATTTTAGTTCTTTTGGATAAATACTGAGGAGTGGCATATCTGGGTCATATGGTGGTTCCATTCCTAGGTTTTTGAGGAATCTCCATACTTCTTTCCAAAGTGGTTGAACTAATTTGCAGTCCCACCAGCAATGTAAGAGTGTATCCTTTCCCTACATCCTCCCCAGCATTGGTTATTATTTGTATTCTCGACAACTGGCAAGGCTACTTCTTACTCACAAAATAAGTTTAAACCCTTGGAGTGGTATGGAGGTCCTCCAAGTCTGGTCCTGAGTGCCCTGAACAAACCTGCTCTCCAATAAATCCCAGCTAATACTCATGCCTGCAGCATCAGGTAGGGTTCACCTTGGCTCCCACTGTTTCTCTTTGCCTGCAATCAGCATCTCTCCTCTTCCTCCCCACCTCACTCCTKCCCTGTTTCATGTTAGTTCTCATCCTTGAAAGACCTCACTTCTTCCAGGAAGCCTTCTCTGACTTCTTCRGACCACAGCGCTCACTTATTTTCTCACAATACTTCCAAAGCACACCTGGCTTTCTTGCTCATTTGGTGAATAAGTAAAACTAAACAAGTTCTTGGTGAGAGTTATCTAATTAAACCGTAATCTGCATTATCCACTAAACAATGAGTTCAGGAGTCAGAGACTCTCACTGCCTTATACCCTCACTGATCAGGAATATGCATTATATGTCTCAGTGCTCAATGGAGGTTGGTTGAGAACAAGAGCAAAACAAYGTGTCCCGTGGGCTAGGGAGTCAGCAATTAAGGAGGACGTTTGATAAGAGCAGATGTGCAGTCTTCTYTTTAATATCGAGGGGTTCTCATGTAAGATTTTCATTGGAAATCTACCACTAAAAGAAGCTTGACAATCAATGACTTTGAGAATGACGCGGCCTTTACAATTTCTATTCCTCTCTGTAGAACTGGAGAGTATAGAAAATAAATGCCTGGGGTTTATAAGCAAAATCCATCCGCTCTGGGAAGATTCTCCATAAAAGGCGACAACACAATATCCAGCAAAAAGGAACGAGGTCTTCAGTGGGAGATTCCTTGCGGAGCTGGGTAGCATTTAGGTGCTCAGGAAGGTGGAGTAGTGACATCTCCATTGTGATAAGTCCTTTGGGAAATCAATCTGCTCCACCTCTTCTGGGCCTGTTTGTTCTACTTGAAGTCTAGAGGACAGATGAAGTGACAAAAACCCATCTAACTAGCTCAAATAACAGAGGGATGTGTTAAGGTCTTAGAGCCCATGGAGGGAAAATGAGGCATCTCCATGAAATCAGAAGTTCAGCAGAGAAGGTTGCTTGCCCCTCGTCTACATGAGCTTCTGTGGCCTCTCGGGGGCTTCATAGCCTCATTTATCTCTGTCCTCTCCTCCCTCTCTCTCTGTCTCGGTCTCTTCTGCTTGCTCATACTACAACTTAACTAGGAGGCTAGCTACTTAACATCATTCTTTGTGTGCCTTGGGTCAGGAGATAGACTCTGATCGACTCAGTGCAATCTACAGAATGATTTTCAGTTGATGTTGTAGGTCATRGGAAAGGAGGGGGGCAACCAGGGCCACAGGGTCATCGCCCTGGATGGGGTACAGGTGGGCAGGCGGCAGCTGCCATCTCCTCGACAGGCTTCACAGCTACAATGGTGATAGGGTAGTTCAAAGGTCCCCAGCTRCCACCCAGTCTGCCATTCATTGCTGTGCGTGCTTGAGAAGGTTTATTGAGGCTACTGTGTCTGCTTTGTCATTTGGCAGCAATCCCATGATTCCAGCACTTTCCTGGACCTGCAGTCTATTGGCTTCCTAAAAATAGAAACAATATTCCTACCTGTGGAGTCTAGCTGGCAAAGGACACGGGTATAGGAGAACCTGAGAAGGCACTCATTGGGTCTTGCATTTGACATGAGCTTCCTCGTAGTGGTCCAGAGGGCCAGTCCTGGCATGGGGGTCCGAAATCCAAACTCTGGCTCCAGTATGCAAAAGCCATGTGGCCTTGAGGAGGTGGCTGTGTGCCAGTCAACCTTCTATCACTGTAACGAACACCTGAGGTGGTCCACTGATGAGAAGGGGCTCACTTTGGCTTACAGTTCTGGAGGTTCCAGTCCATCGTTGCTGGYCCCACTGCTTTGGGGCAGATGGCAAGGCAGCACATCATGGACTGAGCAGTAGCACAGGGACACTGCTCACCTCCAGGCCAGGAAGCGAAAGGGGGTCAGGAGGGGGCCTAGAGTTCTGTATCCTCTTCAAGGCCACGTCCCTGGTGACGAAAGCTCTCCCACTAGGCCCCACCATCTCCCAGTAGTGCCATCCTGGGGACYAAGTCTTTAACACTTAAGCATTTGGGAGACATTCAAGATCCAAACCRTAATTCTTAGCCTTTCTAAGTCTTTTTCATTTCATTTGTGAAAAGTGCATTTTAAAACTACTTGCTGAGAATTAAAACAAACTGGGGGTCCTGAGGAATATGCTCTGAGATAGGTTTTAACTCCTGGAGAGAGTCCAGCAAATGTCACCCCTGATCGCCATCATTACTGTTCCTCTCCCTTTCCTGGAAGGCCCCGAATGAATGACKCCTCCACGGTCCTCACCGCTCTTGACCCCACCTCTTCCCCAGACCTCGGCAGGCCCTAGGTGTTAACATGGGCTTAGTGGTTAATCAGTTGACTTGATAATATGCTTTAGGCTCTTACTTCAAGAAGCTCTTACAATCCAAGAAAGAAAAAGACGCATGAAGAATCAGACTGCTGACCTGAATTGGAGCAATCTGCTGGGTGCTCAGAACAAGTCTTTCAAACCTCCTTTTTGTATGATTTGCTTATGTGCCCCTCCCTCAACTAAACAGAGGATTTCTCCTATTTCACTGATCCATATCAATACTATCTAAAATTGTMTTCCTCTATCCCAAGGGATGTGCATCTATTCCTCGAGAAGGGAAAGCTGAGAGTCACAAGAGCAGCTTCAGCACAGAGTCACTGATTCTTGTCCCGTTCTCCTCCAGGAGCTGAGCCAGCCCCAAAGATCATGAACGTGTCTTCTGAGCATTGCAACATATCAGATTGGCTGAGGCTGGAAGCATCGGTGAAGGCCTCTGTGTATTTGGTTGCTTTCTCCTTCGCCACATTCATCACCATCGTCATTGTCACCATAGTGTCACAGGATCGGAAACTGAGGAAAGAGGTCCGGYACATCCTCCTCTGCCACCATCTGCTGTGCATCTCCTCCTACTGTGGCCTGGGGGTTGTTTTCCAAGGAATGCGGGCCCTGCTGGCCCACAGCCCGCGGCTCATCTGCTGGGTGGTGTTTGGGGTGCAGCTAAGTGTTGGAGAAGGGATTCTCTGCACTCTGGCCTTGATGGCTCTCAACACTTACCTGGCGATTTGCTGGCCACTGAAATCTCTGTCCTTTGTGGGTTCAGTTAAGTACAGGATTCTGGCTGGAACTTGGACGACCATAATACTCAAGAACGTCTGCTTATTCCTCATCGAGGTCACTAACTTAGCCCCCATTGCTGTTTTTAAGTTGGAACCCCTATGCCCTGTGACCTTGAATAGCATTCCTGCCAGAGCCACGGGCTTGGTTTTCCTGTTCCTGCCTTTATCTGTCGTTCTTCTAAGTTACTCTCTGATCTATCGAGAAGGGAAACGAGCCGGCCATTTTGATAGGTCCAACCTCAAAGCGAGGAAAACAGTTCTTATTCATTTAGTGCAGATCAGTCTACACGTACTGCCAACCCTGATCATCTTGGGTTTAGGCAAGAGGTGTGGGGTGTCTTTCTTTGCTCTAAATCTGGTGCTTTTTGGTGTCTTTGCATTTGCCCAGTGTTTTAACCCGCTGGTCTACGGGCTTCAGAACACAGAACTGCGGAGCAGGTTGCACCACGAGGTGTGCTGTCGCCTGGGCTCTGGTCACACGAGGAGCAGCAGAGGGCCGGTCTAGCAAAACTCCGCCAGTTTGAATGGATAACTCCAATGCTAAGAGACACATCAGCAAGGGCCAGGACCYGCCTTTGACTCAACCCCAAATGGGTATCTTTATTTGGTTACGAAAGTACCTGAGTAAACCAAAATGATGTTTTGCCGCCACGTACACTGAACTGGCCTCTGTGAGATCATCTTCGCGTCTTTAATTTTAAACTGAGATCAACATCTCTCACAGCCTGCCCTACTGGTAATCCCGGCCTATGGGGTGGTTCTGAGGGAAACGGAGAAGGGCTTAGGCAGCCGCGGCAAGATGTCAAGTGARGAGGGCAGGGGCAGGCCCAGAACGGGAGCAGGGGGAGGGTCTTCTGACAAGGCCAACTTCCTGCTTGATGAAGTACTCATGGACACAAGCAGGGACCCAACCAGACAGACATTCCTGTACTSGCGCTCCCAAGCAGGGGACCCCATAGAAACCCTAAGACAGACATGGGGACAGAGGGAGCACCAATGAAATGAAAGGAAATGAATGTAGGGAAAGTGTGGATGGGGGAGGGGATAAGGAAAGGAGGAAATTCCAGAGACCATGAAAGAACAGGCCAAACTCCCCACTGGATTCTCAGCTCTGGGGCCCCTTCTCTCTGGAGAAGTCCGTTTCTGTATCTCTGTTGCTTTTGCAACAAACCTACTTCTTGCTTGCTGTCTCTGTCCTGTTCTTCCCTTCTGTGCTGAACAGAGACAACCCACCCAGCACCCCTAGATGGTAACGGTTCTATAGTCAATAGTCTCATTCTCCTCTGCTCTGCCATGATCTGTAGCTACCTCCTGATCCACAATGGCTGTCAGTGCGTCTGTCATGACACTCACACTCCAGCCAATAAGAAGGAAGCAGGGGCAAAGAGGGGATTGAATCTTCCTTCTCACGACACTTTCTAGGAGTTACACAAAACATCACCTTGCTTCTAACTGCCCCAGACTTGGTCAAATGGCTACGCCTGGCCTTAACAAAGGCTGGGAATAAGCTTCAGTTGGGAAGCAGCGTCTCCAGCTAAAAACTGGAGTTCTTTATACCATGAAAGGAGGGAAGGAGATATTGGAAGGCCAAGTTGTTTCAAGGACCATTTTCCTCCCAACCAAAAAAAAAAAAAAAAAAAAGACAATGGATGGTTTATGATCACCACAAATAGCCTGCACTTCAATGTTATATATAAACAGAGTTAAGTGTTCAGGACCCCAGGAAGCTTCCTTGCTTTATGTTAACAGTTCTCGAAAAWCAAGAACATCGAAACGGCTTAAACATGGGGGCCAATTCAAGACTTAATTCTAAGCAAGTCTGAGGTGGGGGCATGAAATAAATTCTTTCACGGAAGTTTGCRTGTGTGTTTCTGTGTTTTTTCAGAGGACTCATTTCAGAATTGGTCAGGATTCAGTTCTAGAGACAGGAATCATCATTCTTGGTATTTTAAGCAAAAGGACTCGACACAGGACTCAGAAGCTTAACAAAGTCCCTGGAAGGGCCTGAGGAGCAGAAGTCAGGGGCCAGTGATTGATGTCAAGGGTGAACCTCTGCCGTGGGGTCTGGAGACCGTACAGCCGCTGCCACCATGGTCCCCGCTACCTCCAGACCCCACATCTTTGTGACCTGACTTTCCAGAAGGAACGAGATGGTCCCCGTCTCCTTCTGCTTCTACATGTCACACGACCGACCGTCTCTTACTGGTGTCACCTGGCTGGCTCTGGAGCCCTAGAAGCAAGGAGTCTGGAAAATGCAGTTCCTGGTTTCACAGATTGGGTGGTGCAGGAGGTCACCACAAAAGGGGAGGGAAATGAGGGCAAAAGGAGCCGCTCACAGGAGCCCCCTGACTACTGAGTTTTGTTTACAGGGAAGAGCAACAGGGACAGAAACAAAAGGACTAGTTACTGAGCAACTATGATGCTCCCTGACACCATGTGAGCCACTGTACACTACATCAAACCCGACACCAACTCTACAATGTAGTTCTAACAATTCCTGATTTACAAACGAGAAAAGCGGAGGCTTGGGAAGGTCCTACCTGAGCTCAGAGGTCAGGACATTTCCTCGCCCTTGCTACCCCCCTTACGCTGCCCAGCGGGATCACCACTGGGAGCTGGGCCAGTTGCTTGGGGATTCAGGCCTGGGTTTCCCATGTGTCCTGGGTGTGGACACCCAAGTGGGAGAAGCAGCAACTCCCTCCTCTCCACATGCAGCCCTCCCTTGCGTTCAGAGTCCAGGGGCTCCTCTGCCCTGGTGCTGCTCCTGGGCTTCAAGGTCTGCTGTCTCCTCTCAGAGAAGTCAAAGCGCCACCTTGTCTTTTCCAGAGTTCAAGTGTCTTTCCAGGATGGTGCCAGGTCTTCTTTGTCCCCGACACCCAACTGGAGCTTGCTAGACCGCAGGCACCCAGATGAGAAAGAGCCCCCATGACCTGTGAATCCGGCTTTGTACACAGTCCCACCCCTCAAAAGCCATGCTTTCTCTGTCACAATATTAAACAATATGAGAGCCAAGACTATCTTTGTCTCCCAGAAAGTGAAAAAAAAAAAAGTAAAAAAAAAAAAAATTACCAAGCTTAACTCAGTTTTAAGTCTTCCATTTACTAAACAACATTCAACTATCCTTAAAAAATTTTAAACTCTGTTTTCTGATATCAAAGGGTGACCTTTGCTTGTAACAGCAGTTGAATGCTATATGATAATTTTATATTTTCACTTGGAAATTATCTTTTAAAACAGATTTTTAAAATTGAGAATCTATTTGTGTAAAATTCAAAAGGTTTGCAATGATTTTTAGATCAAGTAAGCCTCCTCCCCATTTCTCTAGGTCCTCAGCAGTCTTCTGAGACTCAATAACTTACAAGGGTTTTCTTTTTGTGTGTGTTTTCAAGAACTGACCTACAGAAGGTAAGCTGAGCATTTCCCATATGAAAGGTAGCTTTGCTTTTATTCATTTTTTTTTATCTTTATGTGGTGCTTTTATTCATTTTTTTTTATCTTTACTCAGTGCCTCACACAAGCTAGGCAGGTACTCCACCACTGAGCCACAAGCCCATCCCCTGTAAGGTAACTTTGATTTTGATATCCTGGATTTGGATTGGAAAGTCATTTAAGTTGGTATTGAGAGTGACAGACAGTTCATGACATAAACAATAATCAATTTCATGATGTGCAAGTCCTTTGAACCCCCAGAGAAGTACAAACTTGAGCAAGATACAGAAGGGAAGGGGAGAGAGGAAGCAGTGGCTCAAGTCACTTCCAGTTAGCTGAGTTCTTGTAAAATGTCCTTTTCCATGCAGACATGGCGCAACGATCCCGAGTTTCAAGTCGGAAAGTGTGGGGTTTGGGGCAAATGTTCAGAAGAGATGGACTTTGCAAATAGCCCTAAGAAAAAATAAATCACTTAAGGAAGAAATGTGAATTATCTCAGAGTTTCCAAGTTTTAACCAACATTTCATATAAATAAGTGCGACCATATCATACTTCCTGAAACCGTTTCTGCTTCTATGTAGACATGCCAAATAAAAACACATATTGACTAATTTAAAAAGCTTGGGCAAAGTATCTAAAAGCAAGATCAGAAAAAATAGTTCATAACTTTCATCTTAAAAAATGTTGAATGAATCCAGATTATTATTTAAAAGTAGTTTAAGACACACTTACAAATTTTAACCCTTGTTGTCCTCTGAAAAGTCAAAGGCTATGGCAGGAACTGCCTGCTGATGGCTAAGCAAAGGTGTGTACATATAACGGAGAGAAAACTGGGCATCTTCCAATGATGGGCATGGGGGGGAGGATGCCCGAGAGGTCTCCTGGGCCAAGAGGACAGTGGGGAGGTCCAGCTGTGGGGTTGTTGGAAAAGATGTGTCCCTAAAGTCTTCATGGCAAAGGAGAGGGGCCTCATCTGAGAGGCTGGACAGGTTACCCCTGGCAGCAGAGGATGACGATGGAGCGAGAAACATCTGGCCAGAGGCAAGCATTGCCCAAGAGTCCAGAGGGGTTAACTCTGAAGATACCACTAAGTGCTRCAGGAGAAAAAGAATCATCTTTGGAATCTGCTTCAATGGAAAATGCAAGCATCTGCCTTTGTTGAAAATGGTGTTTCCTGAACCTTCCATCTCCCAACCTGGAGGAGTCACAAGCACTCTGGAAGTCRAGTGTTGATCCCCGATGCAAAGACAAGACCACCGACTCTAATTTTAAATCAAATGAAAGCAAGCTTGTATTTGTGTACACAAAGGCTGGCCAGCGACTGTCTCACCCGAAATCTCGGGCCAGAGATCAGCACCCCAGCCCTCCAGGAACACGGTTATATAGCACAAAAAGTTGAGAACTTACAGATAACAGGTTTTCAACAAGCATAATACAAAGGCAGATAGCAGATTAATGATCTACATGGCATTATATTTCAAGGTAGGGAGTAAATTCAGATCCCAACATCAGAATTTACGAGGCGCCACTGAGGTTTCAGAGAGGGTTGTTRTCTGGTCAGGGAAAGCCAGGCATGGGTGAGTTCAAGGCACAGGCAGGAATTCCAAACAAGTTTAGAAATCGCAGTAATTTATAATAAAACAGAAATTAACTTTTCATGACTTTATGACGAGATGGCTCCTAATCTTAAGAAGGAATTAAGGTTGGGGATATAGTTCAGTTGGTAGAGTGTTTGCCTTTCATGCATAAGGCCCTGAGTTCTATCCTCAGCATCACCAAAAAAAAAAAAAAAAAAAAAAAAAAAAAAAAAAAAAAGAAAGAAAGAAAAAGAAAAAAGAAAAAAAAGAATTAGGCTGGGTTCATTGTGAGGAAGTCTAATTATTTCCACCTGCCATCTTATTGCCCCCTTGTAATGTATCTAAAAAGCCACATATCTTCATGATTCCAGGGATTAGGATGGGAACACCTTTTCAGGAGTGCGCAGGAGATGTAACTTTTTGCTTATCATGTTTACTAAATTGAGATTATTCTTTGGAACTAAAAATGATCAAAGGACTTTATTATTTAAGACTAGAC